AGAAGTGCTTAGCAGTAGATGGCAGATCTGATGGTGGGGACTTCTGGAAACCGCCCTTATCTGAGGTCATTACGCTTAGTATGCGCCCTTCACCCTCCGCTCCCCCAGGATTATGGTAACGAACGTCCCCTAACCCATTATGTGCATATCAAAGCTCCTACTGGTACACAAATACAAGACAGAGTCACCATCTTTACTCATTTGTAATACAGCTTAGACTGGGACCCGAGGAACTTACTACACAGAACTTCAAAGGTATCCTGAAAGCGAAATACAGAACTGTATAGCCCCTTACTTCTCGCGTCCTCTTTAGATGCTCTAAACCTCAGTACTGCGTCCACAAACTCTGCGACCACTAACTTCACTTCTAACGCCTCTGTGTTTCTCTTTACCACCCGATATGTGGATTACGGTGGTGGATCATATCAACGCGCTGAGATACACCTCTAACTTCTATTCGACGTGGAAGAACTATCGTCTTTTACCACCTAGAGATGCAAAATCACCAGGAGCTAGACAATTCATCCCAGACGTCATTCTATCCTAAATACATAGCTCCAGTTGAGAGAGCACTAGGGGTGCTGGTATAAGTGCCATTTGCATCCAAACATACAAACTTTTTCAGTCCTGACAACCACTTACCTGAAAAAGAAGCTAACCGGGGGTTACCTCATGCGACACGCCGGCCTTCAAGTCTTTTCGAATGGTTTGATGGTGAAACCTCCCATATTCTCAGCCATAATATGACAATAGCAGCTGGATAGAAGTGCGTGCCTGGCCTTATTTGTTCAAGTGGCTCTGTTTTACAACATTACAGACCTAAACGGCTGCCACATCCCTCGTGACGCGCACAATACCAGACATAAATTTGCCCCCGCAATCCATTCCAGTTTCCTTTGCCGTCTGTAGACAGCACGGGTTTATTGAATACAAACATATCTCCGGACTCATTGGTTCTGAACATTTGATGGGCAACATACTCTTATGGATTTCACGGCTCACCATTGCTCGTCATACTTAGTGATTATACCCTCATTAATTTTCGCCACTGTTGTTTAACGACATCGCTCTTATCCGATATTTGTGACACGCAATATCTAAACGGTTGTTTGCTCCAGAAGACTTTGTGTGGCACGATGATATATTTCTGTCTAAACTTTTACAGCCTCAGTAAGGAAATAACATTTAGATATTGCCCGTACAAATGGCATGTATTCTTATAATTCATTATTCGAAATATTTAATTATTATATGTGTATGAATTAGGGTGTGCATGCGGCTGGAGTTGACCTGGGAAGATAGGAACTTCTCTCTTCCCAATCGGTCTTGCGCGGAATACCATTCTCCGGTTTCTGCTCGTGCCTTCCTTTCCTCTTATCTTTTCAGCACAGGCTTGATGAGAACAGTCTGAGCACAATTTTGACCAAAATGTCAGCTTACTGAAAGTGCTACTTTGTTCGCGATATTAGAAATCACCAAAAAATTCCTCGGACTGTATCTTCAACGTTTTCAGATTTTTTGGAAGGTTCCACAATAAACCCACTGGCTTACGAACATCGTAAGTGCTACTATGTGCGAAACCTCAACTAAAACAACTGGGTTTAGACTTCTGGACGACCACAATGACAGACAAAACTTTGGCAAGCTTTTAAATCTGAGAGGTCACTTCACTTAGCGGCATGAAGCATAACATATTCGCAGCAAACCTACGCAACATATTTCTGTGGTACTTTATCTCATTTGAATCCGTCTGACAGGAGACAGTTAACAATTAACACACATCATTGATGATGCCGCATACTTCAGTATGAGTTCTGCTTAAAATCCATCACCATTAAAATAAAGTCCTTCCAATTTTTGTTCCTTCGCACCACAACGACTAATTTTTGTGGCCTGTATCTATATTGCTGCGTGTGGCAACACGACGAGCCGGAGGTGCATGAAACCAGATATCCACCCGGATCAAACGATCACGTGGACACATGTTGATACCTGAGATCGTTGGATTGGGTTCTTGATGACCACTGATACTCCACAAGTGTGAACTGATGCTAGAATATGTTTATTTGACGAAACATGGAACTGTACAGATGGGTGAAACAGACACTCTTTATGCTATGATAAAGCATAATGTTACCCCTTCCTTACCATTCAAAACAGCTCAAGCGTTTTGGGTTTCTCCACTATTATCTATCTGATGGTGCCCGTAAACCGGATTCTCTTATGTTAAATTCATGACTTGCGAATAAAATACTTATTTTTTATTTGTGATCATTTGTGAGACGGTCTAGCAAGAAGAAGACTGTTTCGGCTGTCATGCCAACCAGTAGTATACATACAAAACACTACTGGCTTATATCACAAATAACTTGAGCGGTCTCATTCCCAAAACATTCGGGACTTCCGTGTGTGGTGACTGAACAGCATGAGTTTTTTAAGTGAATGTTACTACTGTTTCTGCTTACTTCCCTGGCGGACAATGGTTTTCCAAGCCTGATCCTATTGTGTGACAGTTCTACTAATCTGAGTGATGAAGTTTCAAAAAGATGCTTTCGAGTTGAAAATTGGCATCTGGGGACACAACCTCTCCTGGTTAACTAGTTCACTAGTTACTGGCCGGTCCTAGGCCCAGATAAAGAGGGAAGGTTGGGCGTACGGCTAGCAACCCAACCCCGTAAAGCCAATCCAATTGCTAAAGAAGCTTCGAAGCACAAAGACACGAATTTTACCAGATGGACACACTGTGATAAAAATCAAATCGACTTCGTTACAACCTCAAGGAAGTGGAGACGCAGTTTACAGGACACAATTTCAGGAAAGGGAGCAGATGTAGGTTCACACCACTCACTATGTAGTGCAAGGAACCCACCTTCAAGATCAAGTTGAAAGCCTTCAAAGAAGCTGGTGATAGACCACAGTTCAAGTTGAACACCCGGAACAGAAATCGAGCTGAAGAGTGAAACTACAAACGATATCTTCACGTCTGCCAACCATGAAGAAAAAACGGTAGAGCTTGAGCGAAGTCCCTGAAGAAACCTGCATGGAAGAACACTAGAACTCTTTGAAAGGGACGTATGCAGAAACATGCACAACCGTGTTAGGAGGGAAGAAGAAACAAGACAAGGAAAGGATTTTGACGGACACATGGAAGCTGACAGAGAAGGGAGAGGAGGGTGACGACGGTGAAGCAGATGGGCCAGTGCAGCGCAGAGATGAAAAACCAAAAGAGGAACTAAATAAAATCATAAAACATTATGTCAAACAAAGAAGGGAAGAAGAGTGCACACAAAGACTAAGGACACTTCTACCAAACACATTGGCAAGTGAAGCAGAATAGGCTGAAGGCAGGAGAGACGTGACAACATTATTTCAAATAACCAAGTCACTATCTGGGAAGAGATCAACGCAGACGGAACCAATTGAAGACAGTGAAGGAAACCTGGTTACCAAGGGGGAAAAACAAAGGAAACGATGGGCTGACCGCTTCAATAAGCTCTTGAATCGACCAGCTCCACCACCACCTGCAACTCATCCAGAAATACCACCGGCAGCTCGTCCATAGAACTAACAGTGGGCACAAACCCTCCGACAAAATTCGGAAGTGAAGTCCTGAACGCCATACAGTTACTGAAATCCAGGAAGGCAGCAGGACCAGATACATTTCGCCCGAAGCACTGAAAACAGACTCAGAGACAACGGGGGACAGGCTTACACTGCTATTGCTGAAAGTCTGCAAGGAAGGAAGGAGCGATACCTTCCGATTTGAAGAATGGCTACCTTGTCGAACTTCCGAAGAGGGGAGACGTTTGTGTTTGAACAGAAAGGAACTGGCTTGGAATCGTGCTTCACTTCTGTCCACCCCAAGCAAAATTTTAGGCCACATAATCCTGGAAAGGCTAAACAATGCACTGGATTCGAAATTACGACCAGAACGCGATGGCTGGCTTCAGGAAAAACGTATCATGTGGGGATCGAATTGCGATGCTGCGCGTCATCGTAGAACAGAACGTAGAATGGCAGTCAACTCTCTACCTCAACTTCATTGACTTTAAAAAGGCCTTGATTTGACAGCGTCGACTGGGAAGTAATTTCGCAGGCATCCGCTTCAACATCACGAAATATCACATACCTTTATCAATCCCACTCAACAGCTTCGTGTTATATGAGGTTAAAGGCCAAGTAATTCACAGTGGAAAGCTCAGTGATGCCTTTGAAGTGAAAACAGGAAGGAGTAAGACAAGGCTGTCTACTATCACTAATGATCTTCCGGATTATGGTCCGCTGGATCGTGGAGCAAACCGTGGGGAGCTAGAAGATGAACATGTGTTGGCTGGACCGATGAAAAGACCCTAGAAGAAGATTTGGATTTCGCCGATGATGACTTATGTCTTATGTCTTGTAGCACAAACTAGAATATCTACAGACAAAAACCAACAAGTTGGCAGAAGAGGAGAGGCAGCGAAGACGGGACTTCAGGTGAGTGTAGAGAAGACAGAGGTGATGAAGATACCCAACCAACACCATCACCAACAATGACAACAACAACAGGCAACAACCACCATCAATGGGAGAAACCTGAAGGAAATGGTCTGTTTCATCTACCTAGGCAGCATCGTTTCAACTACAGGCGGCGCAGGCACAGATGAGGAAGTCAAAGCCAGAATCGGAAAGGCAAGACAGGCATTCATTAACCCGAAATCAGTGTGGAAATCAACTGAACTCAGTCCGTCTGATTAGAGGACGGAAAAAGATGGTGAGTGCCAGATGTAAGGGAAAGCTTCAAAATCATCAGGTATTCTACAGGCGAAAGTGATATTATTTTTTAAAAATTAAAAAGTGATAGACATCATTTGAAAATGTAAACTTCAAAATAGAAGCATTTGGGTTTCAGGAATGGAAACAGAATGAACAGTATTTCGAATGCATAGCACTCCACTGAGTATTTTGTTTGAATTTGTGCGCGGTTGTTGCGACCGTTGATTTCGGGCCTCATTTTGGAAATGGCGGCTAGATATCGGGACGTTGGTACGAAGGTATACATCGGTGACTTGCCCAGAGAGGCTTCCGAACGTGAACTCGAACGCATATTCCGAGAATATGGGAGATTGCGTAATGTATGGGTTGCAAGAAACCCTCCTGGGTTTGCCTTTGTTGAATTTGAAGATGCAGCAGATGCCAGTGACGCTGTGCGTGAACTTGATGGAACGTAAGTTGATACTAAACAGTACATTCGTTATTTCGTCCAGAGTTATGTGTGGTGTCCGCGCCCGGGTCGAATTAAGTACTGGAAAGTCTCGACAGAAGCCTTGGGTGCGTGGTGGAGGTGGTGGTGGCGGCGGCGGTGGTCCTCGCAATAGTGGGGGACGTGACAATGGATTTGGTCCTCGTCGAATGAAACCGTTTGATCCGACTGACAGGTGTTACGAATGTGGAGAACGAGGACATTACGCCTACGACTGTCGTCGCCGAGGAGGCGGTCAAGGAGCTCCCAACGGACGCGGCAGGCCCGATGGCCGAAGAAGGTCGAGGTAATTTACCTTACACGCATGTCGTCTGGTATCGTCTCCGCCTCATGATACGTTATCAGCTGTTACAGTTTTTCATCCAAGTACAACAGCCTTAGACTACATACATCAGCATCCTACTTTTCACCACTTACTGCTAAATGTCGAGTGCTGGTGCCTTGCTTTCCATAGCAGTGATTCGTCACTAGCACACGGAATGTACCATGATAAGGCTCGTCTCAATAGGTATTCTACTCAAACCTTGGCATCTTTAACTTCATTGCGGCGGGCATATACTCTGCCCCACCTTCTGGCATCTGTGAGCCGTCGACGACATCGTCGTGACTGCAGACAGCCACTAAAGTTAACGTCCATAGAGACCGACAGCTTGTTTTCCTCCATATCTCAACGTGTAAGTACCTAGTTTGTTAGTTTGTCCATATGTAACAGTTCTTGCTTGTTGTTTCCCTCTCGTCATTGTCTTAATCTTTTTCTTTACAGGTCCTTGTCGAACCATAGAAGCTTTTCACGAAGCCGCAGTCGTTGAGACCACTGGAATCTGTCTCAGGACTTCAATGCATTTCTAACTGAACCCGTCAAAAGTGCTGAGACATTTTGGCGCATTCACTTCCTAAATATAATTCAGTAATAAGTAAGGGTTTTCTTGTTACTTGAACTGATTGTTATGTTCGTGTACAAGAGTTATCACTTTGTGGTTTGTTCGCCTAGCATGACGACATTTCCAGTGTGAATCGTATGCCTGCTGGCTCCACCATGCGTGATGTGGGGCGACTGTTAACACCGCAGACGTTCCGAAAGCAGCTTTACTGTGGTGTTAGTTGTTAGCGCGGTTGTGGTCATTTGAGCTAGTCTTTGCTATGATTGTGTTGCTTTTGGTGTAACTGCTAAGTGAGGTATAGAGCATCTGAAATACTGGGTTCAGCGTCTTAAGTTTTCGTTGCTTAGTCGCCGGGAAAAATGACATGTCGATGTTTGTATTTTCTGCTTCCTACGGTAGAGTGCAGAAGACTGTATCTGACAGTGTGCTATGTGGTGGATTTGTCTTACGCACTTTTAAATCACCTGAAGTTTGCAAGGATGAAAGTGAGAAATTGCTAAGGTGATGTAGGTACTAGGTAGTGTTGGGAATCAGAGGTTGCCGTCAGGTGGACCTACATCACTAAACCTTCCACTCGGAAAAAGAGGAGAGAGGTCCTCCTGTGACAGCCACTGAGGGATTATATTGACCAATATCGTGTCCATGATCCTAGCACCCATTGCTGAACGATTTCAACTAGAGCTCCAGAATGAGAAAATTTGGCGGGGTTCAGACCTTGGTAAGTGTGCGTCGGTCAGATTTATACCCTACGATATTCCGGAATTGACGGCAACTGGCCGTGTCTCAGGAGTACCTACAATCACCGTTTCTATCTAACTTGTATATTGACGTACTAATGGATATTACATTAGGTGCTTCTGACTTCATAGGGGCTGGCTTACTCCCTGGGGGTCATTTGTTTGACTTATGGTACATACACGATATTTTCCAGCTGATTGGAGACGCTGTTGCAATGCAAGATCTTCTGGACGCGCAGAAATCTGATAATGTTTGGCTTGCATCTCACCTGTTAAATGTAAGATGATGCTCCAGGAGTGGTCTATTGCAAGTAATCCCAGTTTAATGATACATGGGAGGTGGTGGAATGCGTTAACCACTTCATCTGTTTAGGAAGTTGTATCAACTCGAACAGGTTGGTTGCTGACAAAATCTCATCTGGAATACTGAAATCCCACTTAGCATTTGCCAACTTGCGTCAACTGGGGAGATGTCTGACTGTGTATGAAGAGACGAGTATACTCTGCTGCAATTCGTACTGTCTTGTTGTACGGCTGTGAGAAATGTCCGTTAAAAGTAGAATACATGAGGTGATTACTGAGTTTTGGTCGTGAGTGTTGTCACAGCATTGCTTGTGTTTGGTGGAATCAGCGTGTGAGCATTGTTGAGGTCAAGTGAAGGGTAGTAGGCAAGAAAGGCCAGTCGATTGATGAGTTTGTGAATGTTATTCTACTGAGATGGTCTAGACAGCTACTTTGCATGTCTAACCACCGCCTACCTTGACGTGCTGTGCTAGGGGAAAGTGAGATTAGGTTGTAAGAAGGTTCACGGTAGCTGGAGGAGGTGAGACATGCACTGGTCGATGAAGTTTCCTACTATTAATCTGAGTCGCGCTAGGGAGATGTTGGCTGACCGCTTGTTTGGGGTGCCCGAGGTGAAAAGAATCAGTGTTTGAGGTCACTTGGTGAGATGGCTGAAAACGGGTCACAATGGTGAAGACATACTCTCTCATTGACATCTAAATCTTAAATATCTTCAAGTTGTTTGTTTTCTCAAACTACTTTATCCAGTTTGATGTCAGTCCTTTTGCATCCACCTGTTGTTTGTGTACTGCCTCGAAGTGATGCGCTTGTGTGTGAGGTTCTATGTTGGTTGTATCGGTCAGCTAACCTAGGTTGAACTGACTTCAAATCTATTGGTATGATATTTCAGACTGAACACTTGGTAATGTATGTATTAGGAGTCTTTTGAATCTTGAAGGGCGATTGTTGGTGTCGGTACGCTGATGTTTGCCTTCTCAGGTCCGTGCGATGGACTTAGTAGACTTGCTGCCACTGTAATAACCGTCGTAGGTTGTCCAGGTCCCTGCATTGCTTGTCCGTTTTCTGCGTACATCCGTGCTCACAAAGGCGGTCCACCGTTTGCCTGCAGTCCTAGCATAGTAAAAATTGTTGGCTTTTTTATGGGGGGAGGGGGGCTTGTGCTCCTCTGCTGAGTAGTGATGAAGGCACAGGTTTCTGTTATCTTTGAGTGACTCCTAAGCGGATTTGAACACATCTATAAGGAATCGACCGTTCGCTTTTAGTACATGAATGAAGGGAAATAATGCATAATGTTTTCTAACCATGTTCAGGACTCATCTAGGTTTTCTTAGTTTTTTGCTACCTATAATAAAGGCATACATCCACATGACTACACAGACCACCTGAATTGCGATACAAAACTAAGTGCTGGTCATACATTAGCATACAGACGATGTTAGAGGCCTTATGGAGTCAAAATGTGGGTAGTGATTTCATTTTAGGGTGTGCAACCTTAAACTATAAGATTCAGCGTAAACTTCTTGTTCACAGTACTATCCTATTTGGGAAATGCAGATAAATGTAAGACCTCTGGGAATTAGTTAATAGTATGCGACGATGATATAAGAAAGAATTCGTTTCGATCAAAATGATTTTCATTAGATCTGTACGTGAGTATGTAGTCAAGGACATTCAGTTCAAGGCTTTTCTAGATAACTGCAGTCCTTTCCATTTGATTGTCCACCTTAACGTCCTTCGCTGGTCACTCAGTGATGACAAGATATATTTTTACTGCTATGACTTGTGCATGAGTTTAGGCTGTACGTAGGTTTATGTTGTTGCTTGCCACAGCTTATTACTAAGTTCGGTACGGCAGAAAAATATGACAAGTCCATTGGATTGTGGACATTTGTTTTTGTGGTAGTAAGGAAGTTTAGAAATCGCGATAGTGGTGGTAGTTGTTCTTCAGGTCGGGTGAATTGACTGGTACGTACTGTGCTATGAAATGGATATTGACGAAGTCTTCTATCTTGGTGATGAAATGTTCGAGAACAAACTTCGAAGCCTGGAGGATACTTATAAGTGATCCCATCTTTTGCTTTAAGAATGAGACCTGCTAAACAACAGCAACTTTTTTCTTGTCGGGGTCAATAAATTTTGTGCTGTGATGTTTTTAAGGGTCGGGGAATACTAAAGCTGTCAGTATAGGCCATTACCCAGACATGCAGCTCAATATCTGTAGTTGCACTTGCGCTTAACATTCAGTCAGGATATTGTTTTTCGTGAAGGCTATTTACTGAAAACCTTGTCTGCAGTTGGGTAGCTACTGAGAAGTTATGCAGTTGATTTCAGTTCGGCACCAAAGTCATCATCAATATCAACATAAGACCAGGCATTACTGCGTAACGGTCCGAGTTGCCACACCTCATGTCACTACATCAAGTAGAAAGGTAGTCAGGTGAAGGATGAAGGTAAGAGAATGCAATCAGGAGAAATATAAAGTACGAGAAGAAAGAAAGGAAGGATGACGAAATGGTGAGATTCGATGTAGCGTCGTTAAGATGACGATAATTTGTGTATACATCTGCTCCACTGACATTAGTTTTGAGCCATATCCCCCAGAGTCTCCAGCCACTGGTTCCTCTTGTCCCACAGAACCCAACCACTTAGTCAACAGTGCTAAGATGAATAGTAAGAACCAAGTGGTCGGTATATATTTGTGTCTGGCTGAAAATCGTTCTAAGGCCTCACACTTCCTTTCATTGTGGTGAAAGCCCGAGGCAACGAGTAATTTGTGGATAGTCGGTGTGGAACTTAATTTTAGCAAAAGAACGCTTTTACGCTGCCCATAACATCCTTTGATGAGAAATCTCTTTTAATCATTGCTGGATACTTGTAATTTCCCATTGCTATATCGGGTCAGATTTCTCGTCCTTCGTTGATAGACGCAGATGCCTCGATATTGCCGAATATTCGTGATGCTGTAATCATCTTAGTGACTTGCAGTGGGATCCAGGATGCCATTTTCGTCCTAAATCCCTCCGAATCAATTAATTCCGACTGCAGACCCAGGTACATTCTGACTATTTGTTCACTGAGCTTGATTGTTGAAGTTACGCTACTCATAACACATCTCCCAACTGACCGTTTACAATGAATTCCGAAGGAGTAAACGTATTGTGCTCAAACGCCACCAATGAATGAAGACCAGAGTGGAATGGGGTTTGGCTTGATCCGTATTATTTTGCACAGAAATGTAGATGACTGAGAAGGCAGGTATGGCTCTTCGCTTTTTAAACATAACTGAGGTGTCTCATTTACAGAGATTCTGTGTTGTCAAGTTGTATCGTTACTATTCCGAATCGGACATGAAGTGCAGTAGCTTACACCATTACAGTAATAATAGATGTATGTATTTGTTGAATACGATTAAGTTGGTGGGTCACATGAACTACTTGACTTTTTGAATGTCAATAAGACATATTTACATATGGATTTAAAAGTTCTTATCAGAATATTTAAAATACCATCACGTCACAGTACCTAACTGTAGTGGTTTCGTATGGAAAAGAGCTCATTCATCACTATCTACCGATATATTAAGATATGATTCAGGATGAGAAAACAATGCTATCTATTCGATGCTTATATTATGCTGTCGTTTTATAGCCATTCGCTTGTAATTTAGTAATCACATAGATGTTTACTCACTAGACAGTGAAGATAATGATGGCGCATGTATACTCGAAATCTGGTAGTTGCAGATGTTCTCGAACCGATGGTTGAAATCCTATTGGGTCGACTGCGATATCGTGTAGTTTTTATAAAATACATCTTATGAAATTCATACCAAACTTTGAATTAATTCAACAATGACCAATTTTTCAACACTTCAATGTATTAAAGGCAGTGGAAATCATGAGTGTAAATACATCTGTGTGTATAATGATACTTAATCTTAAATTCATTGGGATAGATCATTGAAATACTTCAGTTTATAAAATATTCCTATAAGTAGATTAAATTATTAGATCAAAATAAACAACAACAAAAAAAGTATCAAAAGAAACAATCTAAAATCATTGAAAATAAAAATAAAGTAAAGAAACATGTTTAAGAGGTATGATGCAAAAACCACTCATACTTTGCAAAATAATCAATAATGAATGTGTTGGTGCTATGTGTTTTCAGAGATGCCTAAGACAGCAGCATATGATTGAAAAGGAATAATATTGTCAATAGGCAGTTTTTCTTTTTTTAACTAACACACATTGTATTATGAATCTGAGGAATATAAAAAACAATGAGGAGGAGTAGGACGAGAAGAAAGATTACTATGTTTTGTACGATTTTGAAAATAAAACAAACTGTATAGTACAAATCACTTATGATGTGTCACAGAATTCACTATCCCATAAAATAGCTACATCATATAAACTTTTATAAATAGGATCAGAAAGCATTGAAAAATTAGTCTGATTATTTAAAGCATTAATAATCGATTCATCAGATAACCAACCAGTATAAGGACTACTACTTGTACGGGGTAATAATGATTTATGATAATTAGATTTATACACTAAGTTTAATAGATCTCTGTAGTAAGCTGCATCAAAAGCATAACCTCCTCCATTGGTTAGACGAATGGAACGATTCCATCTATACCAAGCATGAAGCCAAAAACGAGGATAGTGTATAGGTAAAAGATTTGGGATAAGTATACTTGTTGATTTTTTCACATTTTTTATTAATTCAATATAATCGGATGAATTTGGTTGCATCTAAAATTGAGTAAAAGTTATGTATATATACATATTCATTGATAGGCGACAAATCAAATAACTATTATACGTTATTCAATAAGATTGTTGAAATCGATGTACAGGTAAAACAATTCAAAATTTTGTTCAAGGGCAGAAGATTTAGACAGTGATCGGATTCGAACCGGCGACACACTGGGTTTCCAGCCCCATACTCTACCAACTGAGCTACGAGATCCAACAGCTGACAAGATTTTCATTTCACTTCGATCACGAGCACGCTTTTACCCGACTACTATGTGAATTCGTGAAGCGGTACCACGGTTTGATTGTATTCACATTGGCTACCTAGTTAGGACTTCTCATCCCAATCCAAATTTAACTAAATTAGAAAGGAGGGGGAGCATCATATTGGTTATCTGAGATAGTAGCAGACTAGTATTTATACTGGGTGATGATTGAAGATGAAATGAAAATTTCGACCGCAGTTGGATTCGAAACAGTAATCTAATAAACTAACAATGCATCCAATGGTTCCAACTCTAAATGATTGTTTGGGAAGTATTATTGTACTCATTGAATATAAGTGAATAAAATTACTCCTTTAGCTACTGTAACAAATGACTGAATGAATCAGTTGTTTAGTATGACGCTACTAGTGTATGTAATATTCAGTGAAGATAAGTTATCAGAAGACTCTATTTAGGCCAAATATTCGCAATGCATCACGTTACGCAACACAGGCACGCTTACTGACGCCCGGCAATAGCTGTATTTCTCGACCTGAAGGCGACCTTCAACTCCGTCGATCGAGAAGTCTTAAGTGTCTCATTGAAAGGAGTACCGAATAAGTATATCACCCTATTTACTCGAACACCTGTGGGCGTGTTAGAGACTATGGAGAGATGTCCGGGGAGCTATGCTTGTCGAGTGGTGTCCGTCAAGAATGCCCACTCTCTCTATTCCTATTCAATTTTACCATAGATATTTTTAAGGAGGTCTCCTCGACATCCAACTACACAGGGATTAACCTAGACCCAGAATATGCAGAAGACATAGTCCTGTTAGGTGAAGATGCTGACAGGATAAAGAGACTTCTGGACACTTCGAGTGGCAATTTGAGAACGTTTGGGATGCGTTTCTCACCACCCAAATGCAAACTGTTACTCCAGTATTGGTGTTCAACGGTGCCTCAGCTAACAATAGAGACTGTAGAGGTTGAGTGTGTTGATCACTTCACTTACCTGGGAAGTGAAGTGGCATCAGTTCTGGTGCGTTGGTCAGTGGCCGATGAAATAGCGGCACTGGTACAGAAGGTTCGGCTGACTTTTGCCAACTTACGCCACCTGTGGCGCCGCCGCAATACCCAACTGCCTGTTAAGGGTCAAGTGTACTGCGCTGAAGTCCGTTCTGTCCTACTGTATGTCTGTGAAACATGGCCATTCAAGGTGGAAGACATGAGAAGGCCTCAGGTGTTTCACCATCACTCCATATTCCATGGTGTCACCACGTGAGTAACCCAGAAGTCAGGTGTAGACTTTTAGGTAGGAGAGGTAAGACAGTTGATGCGATTGTAAACCTTCATCGACTGAGATGGCTAGAAGATGTTTTAAGTATGCCTAACCGCCATCTGCCTCGTAGCACAATCTTGGTCGAAGTACATTCGGGCTGGAAAAAGGCTTAGAGCTGCCAGATTAAAATATGGCATCAATGTAAGAAGTGTTTGAATGTTGGTTTAAGGTCATGTAGGACGACGCAGACTAGCCGGTTGAGGTTCGGGGAACAAGATAAACCAGTGGTTGGAGACTATAGGCGATAAGGCTCACAATCTATGTCAGTTGCGCAGATGCATACATACATTGTCCTCATATTAACCGCAACTTCGGTTGTTACGCAGTAATGCGTGGTCCTGTGTCAATCTTGACGATTTAGGCAGCTATTGAAAAACAGGAAGTATTGAAGTGTTTCGCTCTGGTTTAGGACTTTTAGCAATGCCCATTCAAGGCAGGATTAAGTTAGTAACAAACACCTTTTCTTGCATCATTTTACTGAATCCAACGGTCTACAATTTTGGACTTCAGTCAAATCACAACTATCAATAAATGTTATTTGTTTATATCTTTTCTCAATTCCAACTAAACTGACTCTATAGGTCACAAGTTCTCATAACAACTTTTGGAAAGTGAACTAATCACATGTAGACAAGTCATTGAATTAAACCAGCCATCAAATTTTAAAGCTGAATATGAAAAAGCATAGTATATATTTAAGTAGTATACAAAAGGATGTTATTAACTGTTAAAAAAAACTACTGGTAAAGTCATAAAATTCATTAATGAACATACCTGCATTGGGTCATAACTATATTGCCACCAGTATAACCAATTAGGAAGAAGTTGTAATCCAGTCATATTTAAAACATCATTCCAATTACGAAAAGAACGCCATGCACCTTTACTATGAAGAAAGTTTGATTTTTCAGTGATTTGTTCATGTGTTAAAGCTTTTGTTTTTACACAACGAGCTGCTTCACATGAACAAGAGAATTCTACAGTGAAAGGAGGAATTCCACCGCCTCGACTTAATCCACTATCCAGTAAGAGAACCAAATAATCCTAAAGATGAAAGTTAAAGTGATAAGTAAACCAACGTAGAACTTCGTACGAATAATTCAAGCTTTAGCAGATAACAAGAAGTGAATATCATCATCATCATCAATATCAACATAAGACCAGGCATTACTGCGTAACGGTCCGAGTTGCCACACCTCATATCACTACATCAAGTAGAAAGGTAGTCAGGTGAAGGATGAAGGTAAGAGAATGCAATCAGGAGAAATATAAAGTGTGAGAAGAAAGAAAGGAAGAATGACGAAATGGTGAGATTCGATGTAGCGTCGTTAAGATGACGATAATTTGTGTATACATCTGCTCCACTGACATCAGTTTTGAGCCATATCCCCCAGAGTCTCCAGCCACTGGTTCCTCTTGTCCCACAGAACCCAACCACCTAGTCTGCATCGTCCTACATGGCTCAAACCAACAGTCAGAGACCTCGTACATTGGAGCCATGTTTTAGTCTGACCACCTCGGGCCTTTTTCAAGCCTGGGCCTACTTCAGAAAACATTGTGTGACGAGGCGATCAGTGACTAGGCATACGTAGTATGTGCCTGCGCTCTGTCACAAAGATTTCTTTCATCTTCAGGACCCCCAATTAAGCAGTCTACATCTTCCCACACGGCTGAAGTCAACAGTCAAGGACATCGTCGGCTGGTGCCAAGTCCCTATCTGGTCACCCTGAACCCCCTTAGAAACGAATCTAACTTCTCCTAATATGGCATGTTGAGATAGGTGGTGGGTAAAAAGGCTCCCGTGATCAAAAACCTAGTTATCTTCTACTTTTAACAGGCATGTCTCATAACCAGGTCAGCCAAAGGATTTTCTAAAACAAGAATAGGTAAGAAAATTTCATCTACATCACTCAAGTTACAGTTAAGTAGTACTATTTTTCTTTCTCAAAAATATCTTAATGTTTACAAACAAGATGAGAAGACTTAACAATCGATAAAGTTAAGAATAATAACAGATATAGAATTGGAAAATCATAACAAACTCAAATTGATTTAATCTACAACGTAGTTGGCACATCAAAGTATAAATACGATAGCATACACTATGAAATATAAAAAACACGAAAGTAAATACATAAATAGCCATTGAGTGATCGTATAAACAATTTTTATCTAAATCATAATCCACGATTGATCGACACGACGACAGTATGGATTTTAAGTAACATCTATTTCGGAGTGTAATGAATATTCTGAACATTTATATTGAAATAACAACAACATATGATGATGGCTTGATACAAAAGTATCAGCAATAACATCATCCATCAACACTGAACCAGGAATTAATTTCTAACGGGTTAAGGTTTAGAAGTGGTCTTCGATGGTGTCCTGTGTAACAATAGACAGTGAAGCGGTTGAGCACGCTGACCACTTCACTTACCCTGGGAGTCAAATCAACCCTGATGGATCAGTGACACTGACAAAGACTGCGTACGGATTCTAATAACTCCATCTATGGTGCCGCCGTGATATCCGATTGTGTATTAAGGGTCGAGTGTACCACGGCACCGTTCACTCTGTCTTACTTTATGGTTGTGAAACATGGCCATTAAAAGCAGAGGATACAAGAAATCTTCAGGTGTTCAACCACCATTGTCCTGGTAGTGTAAGCAGTGTATCGTAGTGTCACCAAGTCAGTAACGCAGTGGTCACACTGATAGTCTTATGGAGGAAGTCAACTGGTGAGGTTGTGAACCTTCATCGGCTCAGGTGGCTCAGACATGTGCTACGCACGCCTAGTCACCATCCACCTCGTCACACAATGTCACCTGAATTAAGTTGTAGGTGGAATAAGATATTTTTGAAAGTACAGAGTTATTCATTAATATTCACACACAACCGGTAGAATTAAATGCTCCATTTATGTCGCATACGCTGAAGTATAGGTGGAAAAGTGGGTTGGATAGACAGATATTTCTCTTGGATTCATGAACTAAATATCTGTGTGATGAGTCAGCGCTAGAATCTGAGTTTACACCTGAAGCCTAGACAAATCAACTTCGTATATAGTTTTGTATTCAGATTTCGCGTTTCAAACTACCATTCTCTATACGTTATGGGCTGATCAATTTGAGTTCGCTAAGTTTCCTTCATTTCTAATAGTTGAACTTCGTCAGATGGTATGGAACTGGAGACATGATAAAGCAATGAAATGAACTCATCGTGTTTTTAAAACAATAATTCTGACTGACGGGAGTAGGAAATGTCGACGATTGGATTTCGACCCAGTGGCCCAATGATAGGTGCTGACCACGAGACCTGAAGGTCCTGAGTTCAACCCCTGGGGGCTGGGATATGTGTGCCCATCGCTACAGAGTCCCATACTACGACAAAACAGCTGTCCACTTCTCCTAGTTTCCAAATGTTCCTCCAACTGATGGTTGTACATGATGAATTCCAACGTAAAATAAATTGATAAACCTCCACACGCCTCCTGATAGACTTCTCACTTTCTCCAACATTACGTGAAGCGAAGTGAATGCATGAGATTTTATGAATATATATCATCATCATTATCAGCATCCATCAACATGGGACCAGGTATCACTGCGTAACTATCCAAGTTACCACACGTCACATCAGTACATCAGGTAAAACGACAGTGAAGAAAAGAAAATTGTGAGATTTGGTATAGTGTCGTTAAGATGAGGATAATGTGTGTGTATGCATCTGTACCACAGACTTCGATTTTGAGTCATATCGCCTAGAGTCAGTCTCCAACCACTGGTTTCTCTTGTCCTGTGGACCCAAACCGGCTAGTCTATATCGCCCCACATGACTGAAACCAACAGTCAAACACTTCACACATTGATGCCATGTTTTAGTCGGGCCGCCTCCAGCCTTTCTCCAGCCCGAATGTACTACGGCCAACATTGTGTGATGAGGCAGACGGAGACTGGGCATACGTAACACATGTCCCAGTCAGCCATCTCAGTCAATGAAGGTTCACAACCGCATCAACTGTCTTACCTCTCTTACCTAAAACTCTATGCTTGACTTCTGCACTAGTCACATGGTAACACCACGGCATATGGCCTATACTAGGAAGGGAGTGGTGGTGAAACACCTGAAACCTTCTTATATCTTCCACCTTGAATGGCCATGTTTCACAGTCATACAGTAGAAGATAGCGGGCTGTTGTGCAGGTGCAGTACACGCGATGCTTAATAGATAATCGTATAGGTTCACCAATAAGTGATAATTATTATATATTTTTGAGAGTATGGATTTTAATTTAGAGGTAGTAGTCATCATGGACTGACATCAGTTGGAGAAACTTTGGAAACCCAGGACACAGGACAGCTGTTTCGTCCCTGGTATGGGACTCCTCGGCAGTACGCACCTAGATGGTTATCACAAAGTTTTGATGAGAAGCTGTGATGTGTGAGGTCAACTAGTCAGAAGGGAATCGGATACCAACTGAAGACGTTGGGTGATAACCACGCTATATCGCGAATGCACAGAAGCTGAAACCTGTGAACCACTGAACCGCGACATAATGGCTGAGTGGTCAACGCGTTCGCCGTGAGACTTGAAGGTCCTGAGTTCGGTCCCTAGCCGGTTCGTGGGTGCCTACTACTGAGGAATCTCATGGTAGTATGGAACAGCTGTCCAGTGCTACCAGGTTTTCAACAGTTCTCCAACTGATATCATTCCATGATGATAATTACTAGTTAATCTTTTCGATACCATTGATTTTATGAATAACAACAAGCAGGCGGTTTATATTAAGTAAAAAGTAAACTGAATTATTGAATCTTTTGTAATATCCAGTTGCTGTGATGATGAAATTATGTACAGTAAGGTTCGGACCAAGAATCCATTGGAAGTTGAATGCTTAAACTAAATGAACAACATTTCTACAAGATATAATTAAGCACTTTTTTAATCATATACATTATGAGTGAATAACTTAACTTACTTGTGTAAATGCAAATTCTGTAGGAAATTGAATAAGCAATTGATGAACACAATCAAGGAATAAAGCAAAGCATACACCATTATCATAATCAGGGGTAATTGAATTATCATACCAATCAGTTGGATCAGGTACAAATGGATAACCATAACGAATCCATTCTTGTTCAATTAAATCTTCAAAACCATGCATGGTTCTATTCTCTGAGGATAACATTATCTAGATATGATATAATGAAATAAAAGATGTGTCATAAGAATAACAGATTTCTGGTATCCAGAAGACAATAAACATGAAATTAAATTAATAGAGTAAAATCGATTGATCGGAATCGAAGTATACTCAATAACCACCTACATACTGGTACAGTAAGAAATGAGTTAAACGTTTAACTGACTGAAGAAATCAACGTAGAACCTCGTACACAGGTGCATCAACTCAGATTGCCAGATTTGATGGTAGTATACAAAGAGCAGGTGGATGCAAAACGACTGATACCTAAGTAGTATGAAGGAACGAATAGTTTGAAGATTACGGTTCATACAAATATTCAAGCTTTAGAAGACGTCAAGGAGTGAATATACCTTCAGCCTTGTCACCAAGAGTCCTCAAACACTGATTCTTTTCACCTCGGACACCCCAGACAAGCGGTCAGTCAACATCTCCCTAACACGGCTCAGATCAACAGTAAGAGGCTTCATCGACCGGTGCACGTCTCGCCTGCTCTAGCCACCCTGGACCTTCTTACAACCTAATCTCACTTTCCCCTAGCACAGCACGTCAAGGTAGGCGGTGGTTAGACATGCAAAGTAGCTGTCTAGACCATCTCAGTAGAATAACATTCACAAACTCATCAATCGACTGGCCTTTCTTGCCTACTACCCTTCACTTGACCTCAACAATGCTCACACGCTGATTCCACCAAACACAAGCAATGCTGTGACAACACTCACGACCAAAACTCAGTAATCACCTCATGTATTCTACTTTTAACGGACATTTCTCACAGCCGTACAACAAGACAGTACGAATTGCAGCAGAGTATACTCGTCTCTTCATACACAGTCGGACATCTCCCCAGTTGACGCAAGTTGGCAAATGCTAAGTGGGATTTCAGTATTCCAGATGAGATTTTGTCAGCAACCAACCTGTTCGAGTTGATACAACTTCCTAAACAGATGAAGTGGTTAACGCATTCCACCACCTCCCTCCGTATCATTAAACTGGGATTACTTGCAATAGACCACTCCTGGAGCATCATCTTACATTTAACAGGTGAGATGCAAGCCAAACATTATCAGATTTCTGCTCAACGCATTCAGAAAACCCTGTGAACGTATTATGTGAGGCGTTATAATGCTACCTGGGTGTCTAGACCTTAGTAGGTGGAGCAGGGTTGAAGATCAAGTGCGTAGACCAATGAGTCATAGCTCCATATGGAGTTAAGTAGACACATGAAAGTTTTTGCCCTATGTCGAAATCTATACCTATTATGTGACAATGTTACCTAGCTGTTTGTTAAATAAAGCTGTACACAAACACATGAATCGCTGAAAAAGAATTGACTGATAAATAGTTTCAAACACACTACCATACTAACTGGGTGTAAATAAAATTTATATCAATACGGAATTGCTATTGGGTGATGATTGAAGGTTAAGCGAAAATTCGGACCGTAGTCGGATTCGAACCAGTGACTACCGGGTAACCGGCCACGGTCCAAATTTTTATTTCACTTACAATCATCACCCAATACCAATACTAGTCTGCCAAACTACGGCTGCTATCTCAGGTAGTCAGAATGATAAACATACAGAAGTGTATTTTAGACTTCAAGTTTTACTACCATCTTGTTTTCTGGATCAGCGTTGAGTTCATCAAAACAAGTGGTATATTACCTGTCTAGTGTCAAATATACTAATTCCCAATATAAACAGATTGTTCCTCGTTAGTTAGCGTTACAAAGGCGTAAAGTATCACATTCACATTATCCTAAGACACAAAAGCACGGTGAAGAATTTTGTGCATCGTGACACTTTTACACATCAGCTGTTCTGCTGTATGGCTGTGAAACATGGCCATTCAAGGTGGAAGATATAAGAAGGTTTCAGGTGCTTCACCACCACTCCCTTCCTAGTATAGGCCATATACCGTGGTGTTACCATGTGACTAGTGCAGAAGTCAAGCATAGAGTTTTAGGTAAGAGAGGTAAGACAGTTGATGCGGTTGTGAACCTTCATTGACTGAGATGGCTGACTGGGACATGTGTTACGTATGCCCAGTCTCCGTCTGCCTCATCACACAATGTTGGCCGTAGTACATTCGGGCTGGAGAAAGGCTGGAGGCGGCCCGACTAAAACATGGCATGAGTGTGTGAAGTGTTTGACTGTTGGTTTCAGTCATGTGGGGCGATATAGACTAGCCGGTTTGGGTCCACAGGACAAGAGAAACCAGTGGTTGGAGACTGACTCTAGGCGATATGACTCAAAATCGAAGTCTGTGGCACAGATGCATACATACATTATCTTCATCTTAACGACGCTATACTGAATCTCACCGTTTTCCCATTCTCCTTTTCTCTCTTTTAGTGCTTTATATTTCTCTTGACTGAATTTTCTTTTCTTCACCTTCCACTTCACTGTCGTTTTACTTGATGTGATGATATGAGGTGTGGCAACTCGGAACGTTACACCGTAATGCCTAGTCCTATATTGATTTGGATGGTTACAATCAGCCGTGCTGGCGGCTTCAGTTTTCACAGTTTCGATATTCCAGTAGTCAATAGTTTATGCTATACAGAAAAATGTATTTGACCTAACCAAATTGTTATTGCACAACAGATAATGGACACTAATGTTCTTCAATGAATTGATTTATCCTCAGAGAACAAACAGATCTGAGTAACTGCATCGTTATAACTTTCCAATTCAAAATTAGATCACTCTACTGTAAAACTATCTAAGTTGGCATACCTTATATCAATCCATAAGAGAAGACGAAGGATAAAGGAAGGCAAATGGCATAATCAAGAGCCAATAAGATGAAGACATAACAAAATTTGATTTGGACTATTGAAATCAACTCTAAACAAACCATATCACTTAGAGTTTTCGATCATCGCTTTCCGTTGTTCCTACACGACTGATTAACAGACATAAACTTTATGGACCAATGCCAAGTTTTAGTTTTGTCGCTCTTAACATTTTCCCAGGATAAACATACCATAGTTAACATCGCATGTTGAAATCGACGGTAACCAAGCATACGTGTAATATTTCCCAGTCATGTCAGTCAGCAAACCTTACCTCTTTAACTTGAGGCTACACCTAAGCTTTACATAACTGAATTGGTGGTTACACGATGCGCAGTTAACCCTTGTAAGTCAACAATGGTTAAGCACCTTGAGATCCTTCTCATGTCTCCCACGTTTAATGGCCATGTTTTACAGGCACATAGCGAACCTCTGAGTAGATAGTCAAATATTTCGTCGACAATATAAGTAGCGCGTAAGTTTGTGAAAGTTAGTCCAACCTTTTGTTTCATTGCCAAGATCACGTCCATCACCGACCCAAATTCGCATGTAAGTAATGAGTTCAATCACTTTACTCACCACTGTCAGAATAAGTATCGATGTAAACTAGTCCTTGTGTAGATTCGTGGAGACAATGAGCATAACCTTGTTTGACGGCTAATAATACTACCTGGTTATGCAAACACATAGGTAAGCGGAGCGGTCTTCAAACTCGCGACAAATTGATCAAACGTTAACTCCCTAGGCAACAATTTGCACTTAGCTAGTGAAAAACACATCCTAAACATTCTCAAATTACCATTAAATTTGCATAGAAGACTCTACATCTCAGTGTCTTCACTTAATCTAGCTATATAATTTACTTAATCTAAGCCGACTAAAGAGTTTTCCCAATACAAGATCGATAGTCGAGAAGAGGGAGACCTCTATGGGCACTCTAGGCCAAATTGAAATAAAAATGCAAGGTGAACATCCTTGGAGGAGGGGAACTACTTGTCGACATATCACCGTAGGCTCTAAAACGACGATAAGTGTTCAAGGGAAGAATCTTCAGTAGGCTGATATAATTACGGGGTATGCTTTCCAGTAAGACACACTATCATAAGATACCTTGAACAATCAGTCTACAGTCAAACTAATAGCATTATTTTAAACAGTGAAATAAAATATGTAAAAAAGTACTACATAGACACATTTTACACACCTACTTACCTGTATAAGACTCATTAAAATCGGTTGCCAATTACGACCACTATCTGGTCCACTTAACAATATAATTGTTCCATTATATCCATCCACTGGTTTGATAGAATACTGATGAATAAGACTAGTTAATTCAGTTGCTTGTTTCAATGTAAATGACAATAAATCTAACCAATTTGTAGACAGTAAATTACTAGACCAATCTGAACGATGCGGACTACACTGGAATGCCATATTATCCAATTTCATTTTATTTAATAAATTAAAACGTGAATAACTTCTACCGAATGATTTACTAATATTACTACCAATACTATTATTATTTGATGAGTTAGAATAAAAAAATCCAGATTTATGAATCTCTGATCTTGTTGAATAACGTTTATCTACTGATGAATACTGATCAGATCCTTTTAGTTTTCGTCGAAAGATAATATTATCACTTATCTTCTGTTCTTGTTCACTGCCTAATGAATCTGTAGACAGTGTATCCCAATTCATATAGACAGTACTATTATTACTACTGTTATTATTATTATTACTACTATTCGATAAATGATGGTCAAGCGTTACTGGCGAACTGTTACCCGCAGCATTATTATTATTATTGTTAGAAAATTCACTTAATATTTCAACATCTGGTGTATGAATTTGTGATAAATGAATAAGATTTTTCAATTGTAACCAAGATTGTTGAATATGACTTCGTTTCGGTATACACCAGTCAACTTGTTGTTGTTGTATCAATGAAGATGGAATAGAAACATTTTCTTCAAAGGATGAAATAATACACTCATCATTATCTTCATGATCATATTGGTTAGATAATAATTCATTTGAATTATCAACATAATTAGATGAATATGAACATTCATCATTCAATAATAAAGGTGTATACAGTTCACGAGAATATAGTTGAGACTTTTGTTCATTGAACTTTGAACTTTTTGTTATTTGTTTTAATTCACTGAAATTACCAGCATATGATAATTTTATGTGTTTTATAAATAATTTATGCTGATGGTCATGTGAATTATTAATTGATGTATAATTACAGTGTATTAATTGGTTAACATTCATATCGGTTAGTAGATTACCAGATCTAAGTATCCATACTCCGAAATGTTTACTGGATGATGACAATGATGAATAAGACAAAGGTGATGAAGTAGAATTGATATGAGATTCAGCATTATTATCATGTGAATAGTAAAATGATAAAACTGGAAATCGATGTCCTTCAAAGTAATCGCGGAATATAATTACCTAACAAGAGAGAGAGAGAGAAAAGATAACTTTTTTTGAGATAAAAGGGGATTTTAATTTAGAGGTAGTATTCATCACGGACTGATATCAGTTGAAGAACCGTTGAAAACCTGAGAATACTCGACAGCTGTTTCATTTCAGGATGGGACTCCTCAGCAGTATGCATCCACAACCTGGCTAGGGATCGAACTCAAGACTCTTCGGGTTTCACAACGAACGCATCCTTGATGAATACTACCTCTAAATTAAAATCCTCATTCATCTCGAAAATACATTTCTGCATAGTGTTCATTAGTGACATGGTTCCAGATGAGAAGCCGCGACCTGTGCGGTGGACTAATCGGAAGGGAAGCGGATACCAGCTGAAGACCTTGAGTGATAGTCACGCTGTATCGCGAATTCACAGAAGCTGGATACTGTGAACCACTGAACTCCAGCACAGTGTTTGGATGGTTAACGCGTTCGCCATGAAATCTGAAGATCGTGAGTTTGACCCCTAGCCGGGTCATGAGTGCGTACCGCTGAGAAGTCCCACTTAATAATATTATTATTTGTCCCTTGGGTTCCTCCTAGTGGAACATACTGCTTACGTAACACGTCGCCATCTCACTCTCTTCTCTGCAGTCTTCTCAACCTGGCTCCACGACTGCCCATAACCTTTCATTTCTTCCTCACACCATCTCCTCCATGTCACCCTCGCCACGGATGCTCAACTCGTCGTCTCCCATTTTGGTTCCGCTCGATGGTCTGACATCTGATATCCCCGAATAGTCTTCTCAGTGTTTGCCCAATTCATCTCCACTTTCTTCTCCTGCATATTTGTTGGGCGAGAGGTTGTTGGTTGGTTCGTTATAGGGCCAGCCAGAGTTCCTTGTTGCTTATTCTTTCTGGCCATCTGATCTTTAGCATCGAGCGTAGGAAGCTCTTGATGTATGTCTACAGTCCGTTGGAAATGCTTTTCGTAACGCACCAAGTCTGTAAACCATCACATAGAAGCACTGACCTGATTGGATTAGTGTAGAAAATGCGGATATTGTTCACGCTTTATGCTGAGTGCAGTAGATCTCCATAGTGGTTTCAGGTTAGTGAAGACCTGTCCTACCGTCTCTCCGATCCTGGCTTTGACATCCTCATTTGTGCCGCCCGCAGTTGAAACGATGCTGCCTATGTGAGGAGTCACATACCAGGACGAAACAGCTGTCCAGTGCCCTCATGTTTCCAACAGTTTCCCAACTGATATCAGTCCATGATGAGTACTACCTATAGAAAGGTAAGTGTTATTCTAATAGACAATACAGGGTCAGATATAACCACATATCAGTTCAAAACGTTACATCATGTTAAGGAGAATAATTTTATCCGTAGTCATGGGAAGTAATCACGCAAAGGTAATTCTCATAGTAATTTGGGATACTATGAATGATATCGAGATAAGATATGAATACTTCTGTACTGCTGTAATCACTTTTCACAGCCATATAACTTAAACTTCAATTATATCAGTCGGTTGTCCTATGTTCCCTAATTAAGAGGCTAATAGTTGCATGCGTAACTCAGACAAAAAGTGATGAAATTCATTGGATGTTAACATGTCTCAGTTTGATCAACTTTACCTTTCTTTCAACATAATCTCATTCTCACTAAACTAACATGTTGATGTTAACAAACAATTGGTATAACTCAGTCGCAGTAAACAATAAAGATTTAAAACTCCGTCTGTTCCGAACTGGCTTATTTACGTAAAATTCTATACCAAAACCTCTACTTTGCTCATATTATGCTTCCAGGATGTGTGAGCAATGTTACAGTGGGGACAGCGATCGATTATCCTAATACTACTTACAAGTAACGCGTCACTGGTTAGTTACTATGTTTATATGATTTACACATTGATGAAAATAATTTTCATCATAGAGAAATAAGATAGAATTATCCCTTTCTTTTTCATTACGTATTAACGCAGTGAAACATAATTATTCACCGGATGATGTTTCGAATAGAATTTGCAGTGGAATCCAACTAGACGCACGTTTCATCCTATATGGGACTTGTCAATTGGATGTACCTGCACCCTAGTGAGTGAGGTTGTTTTCACTTGGGCTCGAACCAAGTACTCATTACTTCAAACCTCACTAGACCACTGGGACACGAGAGCCAACTCTTGTGCAATAGGCATCGGTTGTTGTTGTTGTTGCTATACAGGGTCGAATTGCTCGATCTCTAGTAATTCCACAAATTTTACATCCTATTTTCAAAGTTCTATTCCCCCTCCCCTTCCATATGTCGTAACGGACAGTAGAATTTCCCAAATAGCTGGAAGAGGTGTTGAATCATTCCTATTGTATGTGTTTTATGTTAAATTGATGAATAGAGCTTCAGTTATTGATTTCTCCTTCCACCCCTACACTAAGTTTTCAGAACTGTTACTATCTTCCTATTTTATGAGATCATACCCACTGGGAGAGGTGAGCTTTTTGCTAGATTCCTTATCTTACTAAGGAGTCTATTATTCTTAATTTGAATAAGCTTTTGTGCTCCACTATTCTAAGCGAGTTTATAACTTTAAATACTACCTTAATCCTAACTTTGTTAAGAATCCTGCGTAAACGTTCTGAGGTACCTTCCTTGTACGGTTACACAGTAGAAGTTTTGAATTCTCGTTTCATGGTGTTGTCATTATTAGTATGTATACATATCATATGTGTCTGTGTCTCCATCTTTTTCCTACAATTTCCTATGAATTTATAGATAACTTGATGAGAATGATTATTGAGCACCATATTTTCTGTTATGTCTTATTTCCTGTCACATATTTTCTGCTTTCATATTATTTCAACATTTGCTTATTCCCATTTTCACTGGAATGGGATGCAAAGAGCAGATAAAAAGCCTATGGTGAGATGTCCGGGGAGCCCTATTGGTACGATCGTGTCCGCCAACACTAGCCACTCTCTCCATTCTTATTCAATTTCATCATAGATTTTTTTAATGAAGATCCTCTTCTCGTCATCTGACTACACGGAGGTTGACCGAATCATCGGAAAATTTTCGTCGGACTTAAAATAGGCAGATGACATAGTCCTGTTAGCTGAAGACGCTGACAAGATGCAGAGTCTTCTGGACAATTTGAATAGCAATTTGAGAATGTCTGGAATACGTTTCTTACCACCCAAATGCAAATTGTTGCTCCAGGATTGATTGTCAGTGGTGCCTCGTTTGATAATAAAACATTGAGTGGTACCTCGTAAGAGAAGTGGGACCAGCCCTGGTGCGTTAGTCAGTGACCGATGAAATCTCTGCACTGATACAAAAGGCTCGGTTGGCTTTTCCAACCTACGCCACTTATGGCATCGCTGTGATATCTGATTGTCAATTAAGGGTCACGGGCACTGAACCTGCACAACAGCCCGCTATCTTCTACTGTATGACTGTGAAACATGGCCATTCAAGGTGGAAGATATAAGAAGGTTTCAGGTGTTTCACCACCACTCCCTTCCTAGTATTGGCCATATGCCGTGGTGTTACCATGTGACTAGTGCAGAAGTCAAGCATAGAGTTTTAGGTAAGAGAGGTAAGACAGTTGATGCGGTTGTGAACCTTCATTGACTGAGATCGCTGACTGGGGCATGTGTTATGTTTGCCCAGTCTCCGTCTGCCTCATCACACAATGTTGGCCGTAGTACATTCGGGCTGGAGAAAGGCTGGAGGCGGCCCGACTAAAACATGGCATCAATGTGTCAAGTGTTTGACTGTTGGTTTCAGTCGTGTGGGGCGATATAGACTAGCCGGTTTGGGTCCACAGGACAAGAGAAACCAGTGGTTGGAGACTGACTCTAGGCGATATGACTCAAAATCGAAGTCTGTGGCACAGATGCATACACACACATTATCTTCATCTTAACGACACTATACCAAATCTCACAATTTTCTTTTCTTCACTGTCGTTTTACCTGATGTACTGATGTGACGTGTGGTAACTTGGATAGTTACGCAGTGATACCTGGTCCCATGTTGATGGATGCTGATAATGATGATGATATATATTCATAAAATCTCATGCATTCACTTCGCTTCACGTAATGTTGGAGAAAGTGAGAATTCTATCAGGAGGCGTGTGGAGGTTTATCAATTTATTTTACGTTGGAATTCATCATGTACAACCATCAGTTGGAGGAACATTTGGAAACTAGGAGAAGTGGACAGCTGTTTTGTCGTAGTATGGGACTCTGTAGCGATGGGCACACATATCCCAGCCCCCAAGGGTTGAACTCAGGACCTTCAGGTCTCGTGGTCAGCACCTATCATTGAGCCACTGGGTCGAAATCCAATCGTCGACATTTCCTACTCCCGTCAGTCAGAATTATTGTTTTAAAAACACGATGAGTTCACTTCATTGCTTTATCGTGTCTCCAGTTCCATACCATCTGACGATGTTCAACTGTTAGAAATGAAGGAAACTTAGCGAACTCAAGTTAATCAGCCCATAACGTATAGAGAATGGTAGTTTGAAACGCGAAATCTGAATACAAAACTATATACGAAGTTGATTTGTCTAGGCTTCAGGTGTAAACTCAGATTCTAGCGCTGACTCATCACACAGATATTTAGTTCATGAATCCAAGAGAAATATCTGTCTATCCAACCCACTTTTCCACCTATACTTCAGCGTATGCGACATAAATGGAGCATTTAATTCTACCGGTTGTGTGTGAATATTAATGAATAACTCTGTACTTTCAAAAATATCTTATTCCACCTACAACTTAATTCAGGTGACATTGTGTGACGAGGTGGATGGTGACTAGGCGTGCGTAGCACATGTCTGAGCCACCTGAGCCGATGAAGGTTCACAACCTCACCAGTTGACTTCCTCCATAAGACTATCAGTGTGACCACTGCGTTACTGACTTGGTGACACTACGATACACTGCTTACACTACCAGGACAATGGTGGTTGAACACCTGAAGATTTCTTGTATCCTCTGCTTTTAATGGCCATGTTTCACAACCATAAAGTAAGACAGAGTGAACGGTGCCGTGGTACACTCGACCCTTAATACACAATCGGATATCACGGCGGCACCATAGATGGAGTTATTAGAATCCGTACGCAGTCTTTGTCAGTGTCACTGATCCATCAGGGTTGATTTGACTCCCAGGGTAAGTGAAGTGGTCAGCGTGCTCAACCGCTTCACTGTCTATTGTTAGACAGAACACCATTGAAGACCAGTCGTGGAGCAACATTTCACATTTGGGTGGTGAGAAATGCATCTTAAGCATTCTCATATTGCCACTCAAGGTGTTTAGAAAACCCTGCACCTTGTCAGCGAATTCATCTAACAGGACCGTGTCATCTGCATAGTCTACATTTACTAAGGTTCAACAGAATGGTGTGCTTACCCACATCCGTTACATTGAGATTGCCGTAAGACCTCTTAGTCAATAAAGCCCGAATGAAATCTTCAGGTCAATAAATAAAGCTTGTATCAAGCGTCAGAAAGTGTTTCCGTGTTCGACAACCTAGCGGAATGTTAACATCTGATCGATACACCTATAGCTAGGTCTGAACTCTGCCTGTTCTTCCCACGTTTGCTGCTCTCGAGATCCACTCAGACGTCTAATAATCATAGAACCTAGAATCGTATACAGTATGCTTGACAGGTCGATTCCCCTGTGATTACCACAAGAGGACTTTCCGCCTTTCTTTAAGACCGGGAAATTCAGTGACTGTGATCAGTCAGAGGGGAAGATATCTCACTCAAAAACACCACCTAACATTTCAATTAACGTGACTCATAACCCACGACCACCGTCCCTCTGACAATTTTTTCGTTCTTCGTTTCAGGTTACCTACCACTTTCTCCACTTTCGAAAGTGTTGGTGATCTTATCTCGATGCTTCATTTAGGGTTCCACTGGATTGCGGGCAACAGGATAGTATCTGGAGGCCAGTTAGACTGTTCCGTTCATCTTTCCAGTCGTCTCTTCTGCCAGCGAACTGTAGACCAATCTTTCTCCTCTATAGTTTCACTAATCACTGACTTTTTCATTCTAGTTTACTTGACAAGTCTAAGTAACTTTCAACTATTACCTGTCGCTACTACCTTTATCGTCACTTTAACCATCGATATCCACCACTGTTCATGGTCATTGCGTAGATATTTTGTGTCGATATTTGAACTACTTCACTCGTTATTGGGACCAGGTTACTTTTTCCAGGCTCCCTTGACAATTGTCTAGTTAGTTTCTCGATGAAAGCGGTCTTCGTATTTTCATCCTCAAGCTGTGCTGCCGATCACCTTGTGGTTATACTTTTCTCACAACTATTAACGCGTAGACAAACGAGTCAGTATATCAATAACCTTTCAATAACTGTGCAAAAGTAGACAAGGTTGATGGATGCATGTCTTCGTTCTGGTACACGAAAACAGAGTTTGTCAATGGGTATCAACAAAGTTAGACGATGTGCTTACTAAACACTGAACATTAAATGCATATTTACATAAAATTATCAGTGATATATAGATTGGTTTTTTAAGTAGACAAGCGAAAAATAGTTAAAAAAAATCACAGTGAACTTACAGAAGTTTTAAATGCAAGTGTAGGTATCTCTAAGGGTAGTGTACGACAATAGGCGAAGTCAGTATTATCGATTAACTCATAATCTCCTTTTAAACGATGATACCATTTTGCTTTCAGTCTTGTCAATGGATTAACTGGGGTGAAATTATTCGGCTATCAAAGGAAGAAATGAAACAGATCATATGATAAATAAAATGTAATATGGTACAATGAACAATCTACCCGAGGACAAAGTTGTTTCGCATACACTGAAAACACCGTCTACTGAACCATTATACATTGTACTAGAAACATTGAGCAAAGCTGCTTCCTTATGGTTTGACATATGGAGCCTTAATTCCTTGGAGAGGATCAGAAGTGATATTACTAGACTAATAGCTGAAAATCTCAAAAGTCAAAATACACTCAGCAAACCTCCGCACATCCGAGCAGTAGGCAATGAGTCACACTTACTGTGGCTAGTGCTGATCTAAGCCGTGTGGGGAGATGCAAACTGCCAGGTTGGGGTCCCCGTGATGTACTGTACCACATGTTAATAACAGACATTCCTTCGTCTCTGTCTTCTCGTTTACTCCAGTTGTAACGGATAATTACAAGTACCAATCAATAAACATGTGTAGAATTGACAATTTTGTGTATAAAACATGCCATACAACCAAACACAGAGTAAGGGTGTTTCAATGCTGGGTAGACAGTATGAAGTATACACTGATAGATAAAAACTAACTCGTTTCTGAATGTGACAAGTTTAATAAAAACAACAATAAAAGGAATGAGTGAAACAATAGCAATATCACATATAGTTATTATTATTATTATTATTATTATTATTATTATTATTATTATTATTATTATTATTATTATCGTCTTACCACTGGTGCATGTTTGCATCAATACGTACAACATTTGTGCACATTTACAACTCTTATTTGACAAGTTAATAGTAAGAATAATAATAATAATACGTAGCATACAAACAAGAGACACATTGTGATATTTAGAAAAGGTCTGTTTACATATTTTATATTGACTATCTGTAAGACTATTCAACTTACTAACAAAATTAAATGGTGGATATTTTTACGCATTAGTTTCAAGTATACAGTAGCAGTTATAATTCAGTGATTTAAATACTTGATTTTTAACTAAGACACTATGAATACCACTAATGATGGGTAGTGGCTGGCAGTGGAATCCAGCTTAACGCGCGTTTCGTCCTATTTGGGACTCATCAGCTGGATGTACCTGCCTCCCAGTGTTCTCACTGGGATTCGAACTCGAAACCGATCGCTTCAAACGCCAGAGCATTATCCACTAAACCACTGAGCCACTTATTGTGCTACGGGTATAGTTTTAATGTTGTTGCTTGCATTACCTCATCGTTGAATGGACCGAATTGACCGATCTCTATTGGTATATGGGCTCCAGTGTGGATGCTTCAATAGTGTTTGTGTTCCAATTATATATTGGTGATAGGCAGTGGCTAGGAGTGGAACCCAGCTTGATGCGCGTCTCGTCCTATTTGGGACTCGTCAGCTGGACATACCTGCGCCCCAGTTAATGTTATTTCCACCAGGGCTCGAACACAGTACCGTCCGCTTCATTCGCCAGAGCATTATCCACTAAGCCACTAGGGCACGATAGCCAAGTCAACTGCTTAAGGAAATTTAGTTTATTCATCAATCTGAGCAACAGAGAGACACATCTAGCCCCCATCAAATTTCAACAATAAACTTGAGCAATTTGCAGGATAGGAATCGTAAAATTGTGACTCGTTGGTCCAGGCACTCGACTTCCAGCCGATGTGTCACGGGTTCAAACCCCGCTCCACCTATGGAGGTTTACGAAGTCAAGTAGTATCGTCAGCCCTGAGATAAAGTAGGCGTGGCCCGTTGCCAACCACACAAAAATCCATGTAGTTGTTGTTGAATACATAAGAATATACATTTAACTTATAAAAATATTGATATGACAGTTGAATATCAACATCATGGTGTGATTCAATTCCATACTAGATTATTATTAATCACGTTCTGATCACAGTTTATTGCTCATAATCATATGTTATACAACATAAACATAAATAATAAGTTCTGCTCAAAATGTCATCTCCAATAAAATCGATAATAGTTTCGAATCGAATAGAAATTTACTCAACAACCTTGTGTACATCTGAGTAGTAGGCATTGAACCACACGTATTTTATAAGGGCTAGGCTAATGATACTATCCAGCTGCTCAAACTTCAGTAGATGGAGCGGGGTTCGGACTTGAGATCTACGCCATAAACCAATGCTATATCATCACACATGAGCAAATCAGATATTGAACCAATTGCAAGGGATTCAAAATGAAATAATAAACATTATCTAGTAAAATCATCTCAATTAATGAGGTAAAGGTTGGGTCAATTAAAAAAAGTGTTGAAATAGACTTTCATAAGAATTTGTCACCTTAATTACAAATAAAATAGTCTGAGCAAACAATTATCGGTTTGGAATGGATATTTTATTTGAGCGTAAAACGACTTAGCCAGGTATTTCAACTTCGGCGTTGTCCCAAGAGTAAACGCAAGTAGTCCACTTTTATTTGGTTGGCAGTTTTGAGATATTCATAAATTCAATCAAATTAACATTTTCTGAAGGCTTAATTTTATGACCAAAGAAAACTGGAATGAGAATCACGAAGTGACTTTGGGCAATTTTAAAGGACACTAGCAACAACTGAAATAACCAATCAGAATATTGTATTTTATGGACATCTGACTTTTCAACCGAAATGAAGAAACCTAATTTGATTAGTTCGAACGTTGCTAGAGTGACTTTTAAAGACGCTAGTGACTTCTAAGGCCACCCTAGCAACTGCTGAAATAACCAGTCAGATTTTGGAATTTCGGCGAGGAAGGCAGTTTTTCCTGGAATCGAGGAAAGTAATTAGTTATATCAATAGGTAATGGGATGGCTTCTAAAGCTACTCGAAAGATGTTAGGGTTTGTCTCAAAAAAAAATCACCCACATATAAAGGGGTGACTTTAAAGGTTACTCTAGTAACTATTCAGATAACCAATGACGTTTCTTTATTTCGTGAAAAAGTACTCTCTGAGGCAGAATATTTAGACTTGATTGGTTATTTCGGCAGTTGCTAGAGTGGCCTTTAAAGTCACTCTTCTTCATTTCCGTTGGAAAGGCAGATTTTCATGGGATACTGAAGTCTAATTGGTTATTTCAGTTGTTGTTAGAGTGGTGTGTGAAGTCAGTCGGTTAGTTTGATCGTCGTGAGGGTGACCTTTAAAGTCGCCCTACATAAATTAACTTTAACGACCAACTGAACTGAAGTTGAATTGATGAAATAAACGGTATGCACTAGATGTGTTCAGAAATTCTTCCTGCTAGTGTTTCTATGGTGTGATGAGAACAAAACTATCGATACGTACACGAGTTCATCTATACAAGCAGATATATACAAGGTCACTTGTAGGCACATCAATTTGTATTACTACGTTGATTAACTCCAAAGACCATTTTAACAACTAGTTAAATCACCAATCACGTTTCTGTATTTTAATAAAGAAAACAAACTTTATAGTGGGAACAGAGGAAATGGATTAGTTACCCTAGTGGTTGTTAGGGTGAACCTGTGTCGCTGTCTTTTTTTAACATGACCACGATGACTAACTCATACAACTTATATTGTGAAAATAAAAAATGAGTGATTTTAAGTCATCATTATCGTCAAGATCAAACACAGAACCAGGTATAACTGAGTAACGCTCCAATTAGTCACACCCCATAAACGCAACACCAAGTCAAAAGGCAATAAAATGGAAGATGAAGGAACGAAAAATCAGTCAGAGGTAGTAAAAAAAAAGGAAAGAAGAATGAAATGATGAGATTAAATACGGTGGCTAAGATGAGGATAATATGTGTATGCGTCTGTGCCACAGACTTCGATTTTGAGTCATATCGCCTAGAGTCAGTCTCCAACCACTGGTTTCTCTTATCCTGTGAACCCAAACCGGCTAGTCTATATCGCCCCACACGACTGAAACCAACAGTCAAACACTTGACACATTGATGCCATGTTTTAGTCGGGCCGCCTCCAGCCTTTCTCCAGCCCGAATGTACTACGGCCAACATTGTGTGATGAGGCAGACGGAGACTGGGCAAACATAACACATGCCCCAGTCAGCGATCTCAGTCAATGAAGGTTCACAACCGCATCAACTGTCTTACCTCTCTTACCTAAAACTCTATGCTTGACTTCTGCACTAGTCACATGGTAACACCACGGCATATGGCCTATACTACGAAGGGAGTGGAGGTCAAAGACTTAAAGCCTTCTCATATCTTCTTTCTTCAATGCCCACGCTTAACGACCATATAGTAGAACAGAGCGGACTGCAACACAGTACACTCGACCCTCAACAGGTAATTGGATATCGCGACAGTGCCACAGATAATATAAGTTGGCAAAAGCCAATCGAGTCTTTTATATTCGTGCAGCAGTTTCGTCGGCCACTGAACAATGCACCAAAGCTGATCCGACTTCCCAGGTAAGTGAAGTGTTCAACGCGCTCAACCACTTCACTCTCGAGGTATCGTCGAAAACCAGCTCTGAAGCAACAGCTTGCACTTGTGTGGCGAGAAACGCATCCCAAACATTCTCAGATTGTCACTCAAGGTGTCTAGAAGTCTCCTTATCTTGTCAGCGTTTTCCCGTAACAGGACTATGTCATCTGCATATTCTAGGTCTACCGAAAATTCTCCTGTGATTAGGCTGATTCCTGTGTAGTTGGATGTCGAGGAGACCTCCATAAAAAATACCTATGATAAAATTGAATAGGAATGGAGAGAGTGAGCATCCTTGACGGACACCACTTGACGTACTCAACTCACCTGATATCTCACCACAGTCTATAACACGCTTATAGGTGTTCGAGTAAAGAATGAGAAGGTAAAGGTCATGCCAGCAACCCCTGGGAAAAACGAATCACGTTTCCTCATTTCAGCTTGAATGACATAACTTTACCATAAAGTAACGAAACCTTACTGGTCATTTTAGTAGCTTGGCAGAGTCGCCCATAAAGCCACTCAAAATAATCATGATGATTTTTTTAAAAATTTGGGTCAGGAAATAGGAACATACAGGGAAATA